TTTGAACCGCAGACGTCGATTTCCAATACATGTACAACCAGGTCAAAATTTGTTTCTCTAGACGGACGTAACTTTATGGAAGAGGGAAAATAACTGAAGGCAGATTGTCCGATTGCCTGTCTTCCAACAAGGATAAAATAAAATTTCAAAATAGCCGTGTTCTTACAATTTAGTTTCAATCGTTGTTCTGGGCATGGCGTCACGGCAACTCAACTATCGCCCCTCTGAGAAAGGATGCTCCGGGTGATATGATATGATACGATATTATATTAATTATAATCTGATATTTTGCGACAAGAAATGATACGATATGAGATGAGACGATATGAGATAAGGCGGTGTGACATGATATGATATGATACAATATGATATGATATGATACGATATGGTATGATACGATATATGATATGGTATGATATGATATGATATGATATGATATGATATGATATGATATGATATGATATGATATGATATGATATGATATGACATGATATGATGCGATACAACATGACTTGACATAATAATAATATGATTTGATATGATATAAAAGTTTAAATTCTTCATTCTCTTTAACGTCACTTGAGCACTTTTGCCTAATTCTCCTCTCACGTCCAACGTTTTTCCCAAATCTTGTTCGAGTCATTCAAACGGTTGTGTTCATGACCAAGTATTCCTTGCTCAGTAGTAAAAGGGAAATACTTACATAGCCTCTACTCCCTGGATCTCCACCAGCCGTGGTGTTGATCACCAGGCTCTCCTTGAAAAAGGCACTATTTAACTTTTGTTTATAGATTGGATAATGGAAAAATTCGTTTTCTTTAACTCTAAGTATATTATGGCGCCCAGGTTGAACTGACTCAAGAGATTGCTACGTTGCTTGCATGCATAGTAAAATTCTGCGGAACTCCATTCAGCCAGTTCAAGCTATCAGTAAGCAAACTGCATGGGGCATACTTTTCTACTCTGTTTGGTGCGTATTTTATGCAAATATGCAGATGGTTTGAATATGAGCTAATTGAGTTATTGAGAAGCTTGTGAAGCTGAAAAACCGAATGACAAAAGTGGCTGTCCTCAAACGTGGAATAGCCTTCCGTTTACTGTGAGTTAGCTCATTGCCCCACATGTCACAGTTCTAAATCTATGCCCGTTACTTAACTAACCCACGGAGAGAATAATTATTAAGCAGTCAGCTTTGTAACCACCGCCAGGGAAAACAAACAATACAAAAAATACAAAAACAAAACAAAACATTCCTCACTCAGTCCAGGTGTGGTTCTGTTGGCTCACATCACCGACGATCATTAAGTGAGAAGCAACATTTCAACATTTTTGCTTAGTATCGTGGGTGGAGCAGAACAGGTGGACAAGTGGCTCGAAATAGCCAAATGCGGATTATTTTCGTTCTTCGTAATGGTTTGTTATCTCGTTTATCCCCCCCCCCCCTCACCCCACCACACTTCATCCCATACCCACAAGGCCGATTTGTGATACTGACACATACTGACATACAGTTCACAGATGCTTGTAAGAACTGTTTGAAGGATAATAATATGTGAGTAGGGAATATTAGCAGTTTATGAACGGGAGGGTGGTGGGTGAGAGGGCAGACAGATAGATAGATAGATAGATAGATAGATAGATAGATAGATAGATAGATAGATAGATACATAGATAGATAGATAGATAGATTGATAGATTGTTTTATAAAGAAAAAGATCTGAGGATAATTTATATTTCGTAGAGTGAGGCTTTTTTTTTTCAAGAGGAAGTTTTTTTTACAACCCCATCGGCGCAGTTAAGATCACTAAGGAGGTCTGTCAGGGACAGCCCGGGATGAGAGGCATATACAACAGCTGAGCAATAAGACCGATACACTCGATAAAAACAGTCTCACCAGTCAATAATCGAGCTTGAGTCTCCATCATACAACAGTGAAGCGCCTAACCTCTACACCCCAGACTCCGGTAGTTCGGGGCTTTCAGGTGATATTCCACGTACATAAACCTCATCACAGGCATAAGCTATCATTTAGAAAGAAGCATTGCATTATAAAGACTTTGATTTGCCTATTTACGTTGTCCTTTCTTGTCAGTCCACACCGGGGCCTGTGGTTTAGCGGTTAGTCTATTCACATCAATTTCAAGCAAAGGATGAGAACTCGAGTCACGCATGTGAGGAACGTACTGTTTCAAGACAACAAATTGGTATATTACAGTCAAACCTGTGTAAGACGGCCACCCATTGTCAAGGAGAAAAATGGCCGTATAAGACAGGTGGCCGTCTTAGGCAGGACTGATCAAGATGAAGAAAACAAAACATTCCCATCTGAGTCCCCAATCGAAAGTAGACCCATTGTTGTTGTCTTTGTTGTTTTTGTTGCTTTGTATTTCGTTTGTAGTTTTCATTTTGTTGCTGCTTTTGCACAAGGGTGACAATAAAACGAAATGTATCAGACTTAAGGAAGACTTGAGTGCTGGGGTAAAACAAACACATGGGTCGCCACCACTCGGAGAACGAGGGGCGCTTCAGTAACAAGTTCATGTTGACGTCCTTTGTTCCTTTGTTACAGACTAGGTAAACAGTGACCACTCATCTCACTTACGATTTGTGTATGAGTTCTGGGCGGGGCTTATGGGTTATGAGGGATCACACACTTCCCTCACCAACAGCTGAAAATTGGTACCTATTGGTCAACAGTGGGAATGGCCTACGCAACATGATCGGTTGGAGGGGCTACATAACAACAACGACAGGTGATTGAATTATAACGGCTCGCCCACAACGCCAGGGGCCAAAGCACAATTTATGACAAAACGCAATGGAGTCACTAAGGTGGCCGTCTAAGACAGGTGTTATTGTTTAGTGTGATAGGGGTTGTGTGTTAAAATATTGTGACCGCGGCCACGTTGGACAGGTGCCCGTTTTACACAGTTAAATTATATAGAAAAAATGCAAGGGGGGAAATGGAAAGTGGCCGTTTGTACAGGTGGCCGTCTTATAGAGGTGGCCGTCAGGGCAGGTTTGACTGTATTTGCTTTAGTGCGGTACATTATTTTCAGGTCTAGGGGAGTCCCTGCTCGTGATTTACTGGGGGTGGGGGGGGGGGGAGAGTTCAAATACTGTAGAAAAAGACATTTCATCGAAAAGTCCACTATAAATGTGCTGCTCCCAGAGACAACATTCATGTTCATAGAAAATAACAGTTTTCTAATTAGATATAGGGATAGTATACCCTTTCAACTTTGAATATAGTTAATAGGCTGTGTTAAGTCAATGTGATAGTTTTTTCTGCATTAATACTATCCTTAAAATGTACAGCCGAAACAACCAGTGTCCTAAAAATTATGTGTATTTAATTTACATGAGCATAACATCTTGTGAAAGTTTTTTTCGGTGAAATTCCTATTCGCAAGTGTTTGGATGTTTGCTTTGTTTCGATCACAAGCGTGAACTTCACACCTGTCCTTGTTTATTAAGATTTTTCGTCACAAATCCATTTATTCATAGTTTCAAGATTAGATTTTGAATTCATACTCACACCTAAAATGAATCAAATGCAAAGAGATTAGTGGGTTTTCTTCTGATTTTCATTCTTCAAAAATTGTAATAATATGACCTTCAGGAACAGTCAATTTTAAAGCAGTATGTGCAGTACTTCTTTGCATCCCTGGAAGACACAATGCAACTTTGCATGGGTTGTGGACATAGAGGTCGTCCTATTACTACTACCCTCCCTTCAGATCGTGACTGCCTTGATATGCTATATAAAAAAAGAGAAATGGACAGCATGTTTGAAACCAAGGAAGGTGTAAAGCACAGGGTGTATTACTTAAAATCGATGGATATACTGTAGAGGCTGCAACAGGCTTAATAATAATAGAAAATCCCGACGAAGTTGTATAAAAACCTTTAAAATTTTAATTTCTTGAGTAGAGGGTGTGTTGTTTTTTTCTTCAACATTTGTATAATTGTTTGCACACAATATGGCGTTAGTCACAAAGCAAGGGCGGCTCGTGGGGCTAAAAAGTGGGCGTGCTCAATTAATTAAGCTATCACAGGCTGAAGATAGTCAAGGGCATAGTAAATGGGATGGTATATTATAGTTTTAGGATCTTTGGGCTGGTGAGGGAGCACCTCGTGCTTTTATTTTCATTCTATTTACTTGTCGCTTAGATTTCTAGAACTAAATATGTTTGTTAGCTAGACATCCTGCTTTAGAACGGAACACTCAAGTAATAACTTTCACCACTCCACAACAAAACCATTCAAAGACACAAATCATAGGACGGTGACTTGAGTATGTCACGTTTACCTCCTTCAGGTTCACGGTCACAGAGTCTCTTAAAATAGCCTAGCGGCAAGACAATGAACCAATCAGAATTCACTTGAGCAATCCGCTGGATTGCACAGGGACTCACATAATTTTGGCATAGAATAGTGTACAGTATACGGCGTTTATTTTTAGACTGCCTACTGTGGGCTATGTTTCGGCACTATTCAGCAGTAGCACATTTGAGATGTGCCGACTTATAAATATTAATGTACCGCCAAACTCGCTACGAGTGTCGTCATCGCATGGGTTATCCCAAAGAGCGCTTTATAGGTGAGGTTACCACTGTTGAATCTCATATTACGTTTAGTTAGAGCGCGTACGCTTTGGCATGGCATAGTACATGTAGATGTTTCATGGCACTGTGGACACAGAAATGAAAGTTACAGAGCCAGCAAGGACTTTGTTTTGATATAATATTTGACTAGTGTTTGTTTCTGGCGTCTTTTATTTTATTATTGTGGGGGCTTTACGTAAAAGAACGATAAAAAAAATGTGGGCGGCACTGCACGACCGAGCTCTATGGACGAACCGCGCTTGTCGCAAAGCCGTTGGTAGGCGCACACTTAGCTCAGTTGGTAATCGGTTGAACTATGGAGTGGAAGACCCCTGTATGGGATAGAGCGCTATATAAATGCAACCTGTTATTATTACTATTATTAATTATCCAACGAGGTGTTCTTGTACTTGAGTTGTCTTGGGGAGTTTTTACGTCTCTCCAACCATATCCTCTAGCCTATTGGAGGTGAATCTTTGAATGCGAAAGATCTGCCTCTTAAATAGTTTCACAGTGTTGAAAGGGGCGTTAAATTTATACAACAGCCGCAGCAACAACAACACAACAACAACGACAACAAAAGTATAAACAACAACAACTACTACTACAACAACTGCAGCAGCAGCAACAGCAACAAAAGCAACAACAACAACAACACCACCAACAACAAGATCCTTAATTTACCCCCCTTCCTTCTCCATCTGCCCCAGGTGGAGTTTTACAGTGTTTAAAGAGGCGTCAAATATATACAACAACAACAACAGCAGCAGCAGCAGAGGCAGCAGTAATAATACCAAAAACCACAATAACAACACCATCAACTGCACCAACAATAACAACAACAACAACAACAACAACAACAACAGTAGTGGCAACAGCAGCAACAGCAGCAACAGCAGCAACAGCAGCAACAGCAGCAACAGCAACTAGAAACGTTTATTCAAAACCTTATCCTTCTCTCCATCTTCCCCAGGAATGAGGAATCTGAATACCTGCGTGAGACAGTACCACCGTTACTTCTCCAACTGCCAGGAGAAGCGGCTGCAGAAGCTAGAGGGCGCAACATACGTCACTTCCCCGTCCTCCAGCGCCCACCCCTGGTGCAAGTACGTCACACGTCACACGTGACTCGTCACATGTCACACGTCACACGTCACTCGTCACATGTCACACATCACCAGCTCGATGCTATCTTGTACTAACTACAATGTTTAACTTATTATGGAAATTTTGCTCACTGCTGTCAAGGCTGTTGAAAATGTTTTTCTTTGACACCCGAATTGTTATAAATCGTGGTGAAATCAGGCGCTCGTCAAATTGATTAAATCGGCTCAGCACCTTTTATATCAGTTGAAGTACATACTTCTATGTGGATTTTACTGAAAAGCTTTCATTCAAAGGCACAAAAGAACAAAGACTATATGTCCAGTTTTCAAGGACATTTAAACTTTGGAAGTCATCAAACTTTGGCGGCCCTTTTCTCGCTTTCTTCACTCACAAATAGTTTCACTTCTATTCAAGATAGATACAAGGGCATTATTTTATCCTTAAGCGAGACGAATGAACATTCTTTAAGATGACACCAATAACTCGAAATGGCAAAGAAACCGACGAGCGCCTGTTTCCACCATGTAGTGATACATATTATAAAGTTTATGCCCATGTTCCATATTAATTTATTTGTTTAAAATAAATCCTGTTTTAAAGGCTGGAATTCAATGATCCCAAAAGTAAATAACTAGAAAGCCCAACGTTTTTTGTTTTTTTTAAATGCTATTGGTCCGTGTGTTATAATCTATACCGTTTTCATGGACGTCTCTGGTAACTGTAACATGTAAAAAAAATAATAATTGTACAATTTTAATGATTTATGTGGAAAAGGCCAAAAGTAATGGCTTAAAATACTGATTAATAATTATACGCACCTACCTCGTG